GGCCCTGTCATTGTACCACTGACTGTCCTTCATCCTCTAGAGACTGAACAGAGTCATTCTGGAACTTCTGCCTCCCAGAAGGTCCCCATGCTCTATTTCCCAGGATCTCCAAAAGACCATCAGGTATGTGCACCAAAAGGAGCCAAGACATGGCTTGGTCCCCGAACAAAGGTGGCAACTTGACTCCTCCAAGTCTAGAGAGTAGAATAGCTAGTGAGTTTTTAAAGGTCAACTTTATCACTGAAAGAAACAAATCTTAATTTAAGTCTTATGGGATATTCTTCTATAAACATAAGAGTCGTATGACCAGTTCAGAGGTCATAACCAAGAGGGCAGTTGGGAATCACTCGGGCTTTGGACATCAGAGAAATCTTCACAAGTGAGTTGTGACGGAGTTTTGAAGGATGAATAGGAGTATGGTCAAAGAAAGAGTTGAGATGGGGTTGGGGGGCACATCTCTGAAGAAAGATGTCCCCTAAGGCAAGACATGAGGTTTAGCTCTGAGAATTCTGTGCATAAAGCTGGGAACTGGCAATAGTTAGAGATTATATGCAAACAATAAATCATGGAACACTAGATCAAAAACTAATGAGGTACTGTATGGTGACTAACATAAGATAATAAAAAAAATTAAAAAATAAAAAGAAGAGGGGCAAATCCTCTGAGTACCATGGAAGGAGCATCTATACCTTCCTACAGGTCTTTGTTTCTGTAGAGTTTACAACGCTTGCCCCACTTCGTAAATATCAAAATCTTGAGCCTTTCTTTAATGTTACTAAAAATTCAAAAAAAGGATTCTCCCCATAGTGAAATGAATGACCTTTATAAAACCTAAATCTATCATGCCATTTTCTTACTTAAAATCCTCCAGTGGCTCCCAGCAGCTCTTAGAGCAGGTACCTCTGTGTACAACCTCTGCTGGGGTCCAAGGAGTTAAAAAGTATTAACAGTGATTGACATTTTACTAAATACCATGTGCTTTACCTGTATAAATTCATTTAATCCTTATATCGAGGGCAGAAGGTGCTATATTACCCAAGATTGCTGAGTTGATAAATAATGGAGTCAGGAGTGGAACCGCAGGTGATCACACTCCAGAGTCATGGTCTCATAACCCCTATGCAACACGGACTTCATGATCACATTGGCATGTGCATTACCATATGCATCTCCCCATCTTTACTTCACCATTCCAATCCAAGCCACCATCATCTCTCCCTGGGCAATGGCCAGGCCTCTGAATACGACTTCCTCTCCCATCTCAGCAACATATTCCTAGACATTGTCATCACCTATGACTGCAGCCCATCAGCATCCACCCTCATGCACCCCTCTCTCAGAACACCACCTTTTATCTCTAATTCATTCACTACAGTACACTAACACCAGCAATTTGTTTGTCATAGTACAGTAACTCCAACAGTTCTTTGGCTCCAACACAACCTACAACCCACTGATTCTACCATGACTTTATTGTCCCTCACCCCTCTCATGCTCCTACTTCCTTCCAACCTAACGTAGACTTCACAAAACATCATTATAATTATCTCTTTCATACACCCTTATCTCCTCAATCTTTTTTCCCTGCCATGGTACTTATCTGGGAAAACTCCAGTCCTGGTTAAATCCTCAGCACTTTCACTCTCCTTCTGAACCCAGGCAACTTTCACTGGAGGAAAACTCAAAGGTAATTCTAAATTAATGGCCATCAACCTCAGGTGAGCCATTTATGACTGCTCAGAAATGAGCCTTTATGACTGCTCAGAAATCCCCACATCAATTCAATCTCCCAGCTTCCTAGATCATGTCAGTTCCTCAAACTCCCAAAAGTCCTCTCCACTCTTACCTTCAGTGTGCTACTCTGCTGAGAAAATGAAGCAATTAGAAGAGAAATGTCACATATTCTCATCCCCGTATCTACCTACCCACCCACCCCTGTACTTCTGTCCTATTACTACTGAGAGTGTCTATTTTCTTATCCAAGGCTATTCCTTCTTCTCCATCTCATTCATCCCCACTTTTCTGATCTTTCTTGCATCATTAAATTTTCTCTTTCTATGGAATCATTTAATTAGCAGGTAAGTATGCCCTATTGTATTTTATCTTTCAAATATTCTCCCTTAACCACACATTTCCTTCTCTTGCTTGCAAATAATTGTCTATATTCACCCGTTTCCCATTTTCTACTTAACTCCAGTCTGTCAGAGTTTCATCTCCACCAGTCCACAAAAGAACACCAGTGGCCCACACATTGCTGTATCCAACTGCCTTTCCTCAATCTTTTTATATTTTAATCTATCAACCTCATATGATGAGTTAATCCTTGGTGACATTCTCTCTTCAGATGGCTTCCAGGACACCACTGGTCTTAGTCCATTTGTGCTGCTATGACAATATATCACAGATGGGGTAGCTTTTAAACAACAGACATTTATTTCTCACAGTTCTAGAGGCTGAGAAGTCCAAGAGCAAGGTATCAGTATGGTCGCGTTTGGTACAGGGCCCTCTTCCTGATTCACAGCTCCAGTGCTTTCTCACAGTGTCCTCTCATGGTGGAGGGGGCTAGGGATCTCTGGATCCCCTTTTGTAAGAGCATGAATCCCATTCATGAGGTCTCCACCTTCATGACCTAAACACCTCCCGAAGGACTATCTCCCTTTGCCATCACATTGGAGTTTAGGATTTCAACATATGAGCTTGGGGGAACACAAATATCTGGACCATAGCACCACTCTTGGTTGTCCTCCTTCCCTATTGACCTCTGCTTCTCCTTTGCCAATCTGTCCCCATGCCAACCAACAATGGGGTGACCCAGAGTTTACTCCTCAGACCTCTTCTCTTTCTACATGCACCTGCTAGGTCAGCTAGGTCAGCACCCCAAGACTCATGGCTTAAATACCATCTATGCCTTGATGACTCCCATGTTTTATTGGAGAGAAATCTGACTTCTATCCTGAACCCAGACATCTCTACTGAGATGTCTTAAGAGGCATCTCAAACTTTACTTACCACCCAGTTCCTAATTTCCAGCCCCTCTCCAAACTTTCTCCTCTCATACTTGTCTCCATCTCAGTTAATAGTAATTTTCGTTCTTTTTGGACCTCAGCCCAAAGCCCTGAAGTCATCGTCCACATTGAATCCACCAGGAAACATTCTTTCTAACTGCAAATCTATTCCAAAGCTAACCACTTCCCACCATCTCTTTCGCTCACCCACTGGTCCGCTGCATTGTTTCATTAGCTACCAGACTGATGTCACTGCTTCTGTCCTGTGCCCCTTCAAGACAGCTGCCACTGACTTTTTTGAAATATAAATCAGATCATGTTACAACTTTAAAGCTCCAATAGCTCCCTATCAAAGTTAAAGCCAAACTCCTAACAATCACTTAGAGGAGCATAAATTATCTGCTCCCCACTCCCACATTACCTTTCTGACCTCAGCTTCCCTACTCTCCCCCACACTCCTGCTCCCCAAGATTTAGTCCCTAGTGTCAGGGACTGTGTCTATTTTCTTCCCCTGAGCATGCAGAGAACCTAGCATCATGTCTGACATCTTGCAGACACCCAGTTAATGTTGGCTGACTAAACCTCTCCCTCTCTCTCTGTCCCACCAGACTATGAGGCACAAGTCCAGAGCACAACCCTTGCCTCATTCCCCTTTCCAGCCCTGTTCCCTACCCAACACCTAGCACATGGAAGTCCATACACATAAGAGGCTGTCACAATGGGATTCTTCCTGCTTTGGTTTAAATGCTGTGTGGGGGAGATACTGGATATCTTGAACAAGACACTAAAGGGGGTATAGGAAATGCCCACACAAAGACATGCATCTGCAGAATTTACAAGAGAAATGAAAAAAACAAACAAACAAACAAACAGCCTGTCCCACTACTCTGAATTCTTCATTGGAAAGGATTTGAGGTCAAAAAGAAAATAAGAAAAGATTGGTGAAGAACTTTAGGCAAGAGTGATGTGAGCCCATGAGAGTCCATGTCCTGCTGACCTGGGCTGGATGGTACCTTTTACCCCAGCCTCTCCCCCTGGCCCCTCCCACACACTGAACTCAACTAGGCATACAGAAATGAATAAGACCTGAACTCTATACATAAGAAACTTGTTTTTTGGAGAAGTCAAGCACATCCGTTCAATATCTTGTGCCAATTTCCAGGATAAACCTGTGCACAAAGTGCCAGGGAGCTCATGGCAGAAAGGGACTGGTCAATATGGCATCAGAAATTTTTCTGTGTCATGAAAAGTTCTGCAAACCCTGAAGCGAAATATTTCTACTTCAGTTTAATCAGTGTAGAAGGATGGAGTGTTTTAGAGAACAAAGGAGTCTGCATTCACACTCCCCAGTCTCAGTAGCATGCAAAGATGAGTTGTCTGATCATGGGCTAATGAAATTGCTCCCCTCCAAGGTCATTTATGTTCTCACCTGGGGCTTCTAGAGACACAGTGCCCAGGAACAAGGACAGGAAGCCTAGAAGCTCCCGTTTAGAATCTTTCCAATGTCAACACTACCACCGCTCTCCAGTTGAAATGTCTGGATCCTCTTGCCTAGTGGTCCTTTAGTCTCCATTTTCAAAACTCCTGAGACTGCTCATCCAGCTCTGAACTGTTCTGATGGGGTGTTGGGAGGTCATTGAGAAGGCTGACCTACAAGTTGGCCCCAGGCAATCAGAGGCTTCTCACTCCTTCCCAGTCCTTGGAATATACGCTCTGTCCCCTGTTCCTACAGTGGGAGCTGTTCCAAGGACACAGCCTTAAGAGAGTAAGGTGTTGTTGACACCATCTGGATGGTACACCTGACTGAACCCTGTTAAGACCTCTCCATAAACTTTTAAGATTCTGGCAGATGGGTGGGGAGACCTCCTCATCTAGCAGCTGCCCAAGACAAGTCTGGTATGTAAGTTCCCTTGTCTATTAAAGCCACCACCTACCTATCTGGAGTGGCTTGCCCCTTTTCCAGTTTCCCCCTGTCCTTTGTGTATGAGGCCAATTTACAAACTGACATGGGGGAATGTCCTTCCTGAGGCTGTGCTGAAAGGTATGTTGTGGCTTCTCCTGAGTGTCTAGGATCGGCAAGGGGCACAGGTTACTGCAGAAGCATGAACCGAGGGGGAT